GGGGGGGGAGAGGGCTCCTTCTGGCATCAGTTGAGTAAAAAGGGACGCTGTCTTTCAGTTTTCTCTGGGCTGGGAAACCGCAGGGAGTAGTTGACAGAACATAGCAATCTTTCCTGGAGAGCTTGAACTTGAACTTGACTCTGGGTGCGCGGGAAGGAGGGAGGAAGGAGGGAGGCAAAAGGAGAGACGGGGGAGCAAAAAGGTGCAAAGGGGACATCTCAGGCCAGCTTTTTGCATCGCCTATTGATGACTCGAGGATATCAGTATAAATACATAGCCTCACACATTAGGAGCAGGCATATAGGTTTTAAAAATCTGGATTGTTTATACAGGTGCAGAACAAAGTCTTTCTTTAGAAAGATTAATGGTGGGGAAAGCGCTAGATTTTCTCTAAACAGTCGCAAAAACTGCACCCAGCCTCAACGCTAAGCGGGTCATGGCCGGTTTCTTTTTCTTTAAAGAACCGCCCGACCCCAACAATTTGTGCTTATCTTTTCCAAAGCTCTTTCCTTTCCTCTTTTTTTCTCTCCTTTTCACTTCCCTTTCCTTTCTCCCTCCCTCCTTCCCTCTCCTTTACCTTCTCGCTCCCTCCTTCCCTTTGTTCTTTTTCAAGAAAGACGGTTCATTTCTCTATTTTTCTTTTCTTTCTTTCATTTTCCCTTTCCCCCCATTTACTTCTAGTTATATTTTACTCTCCCCCCCCCCCAAGTTTCAGGCTCCTAATGAAGACTGGGGCACATATCTTCATGTCCATATCACATTAGTATAGAACTGCTGTTTGCTTTAGTATGTCTGCAGCGATACCCGACATCTCCACCTCTTGACACTTTCAAAACTTTTACTTTTCCTTCTCTCTCAATGACTACAACAGCTCCACGTGCTGCACAGTACAAGCATTACTACCTCTTCCAAAAGCCCAGTTATTTTGTTTTGGCAAGCTACCACACTTGCAAGTGAATAATACTTTATTTTTATATTTTAAAAAAGCACATTAAAAGCAATTCCCATGTGCCCATGCCTTGTAACATGAATATGCAGTTGTTTACAGTATACAGTGATGGTCCTGAAACTCTTTAAGATTTTTTTTTAAGTATGCAATGGAGAGTAGGGTTAAAGTTACATTACAAAAGAAACATTAATACATTTAAAAAATGTTTTTTATTGATTTCAGAGAGAAGAAGAGAGAGGGAGAGAGAGGTGGAAACATCAATGATGAGAGTGCCTCCTGCATGCCCCCTACTGGGGATGGAGTCTGAAACCCTGGCATTTGCCCTGACTGGGAATCGAACCATACATGAACTTCTGGTTCATAGGTCGATGCTCAACCACTAAGCCACACCGGCCAGGCACTACATTTAATAATGTTTCCTAATCCTGACTCTCCTGCTTATTGGCTTTATGGCATTAGGCATCTTACTTTATTGAGGCCAAGATTCCTAATGTATAAAATGAACTTTCTATCTTGTTTGAGGACCAGGAAGTATATGAGCAATTGCCTGGACCAGAGCCTGGTACACGGGAGAAGATCAATAAATGCTAATTATTTTTATTATGTGAATTGCCTTGCCCAACACCACACAGCCAATGTGTCAGAACCTGGAGCTGACCCAGATTTTGTGCTCCAGGGCTTGTTCTGGGTTTTAGATGGCACTGGGATGTTTCATTTGCTTTAACTGCAGGCTTCTAGGGTCTGAAGTCATAGTTCCATTGCCTGACATTTTCCACAGGTCCCATAAGCGTCCCCACTGAGGAAAAATGCATGGGACTGCATTAGCAACTTCTTCTTTCTCCAAGTTCTCTCATCATAAAGTCATAGCACTTTTCCAAGCCTCACTTCCCCTATTTAAAAACAGTGATAAAACCGCTGAATCCAACCTACTGAAGCATTATAGGAGACGGTGGTGCATGTGAGAGTGGCACACTCAGGTGTATGACAGAAAAGGTACCTAAAATATTAAAATATTTTTTAAAATGTAGATTTTGGGTTTTAAAAGGGAAGAATGCAGTGAAATGATAATAAGGACCATCAAAAAGAACATTTATCACCACTCCCCCTTCCAATGCTGTAGTAAGTACTGGGCCAGGAAGTCAGAATCAAGGGAGGTCAGGTGGGTTTCAGGTTTAGGGAGAGCAGGCGCTGCATCTATATTCTGTGAACACCAAGTCAAAACATGTAGGACAGCAAGTAGGTGTTTAAGAAAGGCTGTGGGGATGCATTTGAAAGGATGGCGTACTTCCCACATGACTTTCCTGGCAGTGTCCCCCCACAGCCTCCTGATGTCCTGAGCTGTCCTGTTGGCTTAAGAAATTGCCCAGACCATTGATCTGAGAAAACAAAGAGTCTAGCTCAGCACTGGCCAATAAGGATGCCACATGAGACTACTGAGCACTTGAGATGTGTCTAGTCATGTACAGAATTGTAATAAAATACACACCAGAGATTGAAAACAATATGAATAAAAGAATGTAAAATATCTCATTCGTATTTTTAAAAACTATATGCCAAACAATGATCATATTTCAGATATAGTGGGTTAAAAGAAGTATATTAAAATTAATTTCACCTGTTTTTTATAAAGTGTCTACTAAAACTGTAGAATTACATATGTGGCTCGCATTGTATTTCCATTGGATAACTCGGGGATTAACTCTGCAACTGTGCATT